ATAGATCCCCCTCAGTAAACTCGACATACGGCCATACAAGACCATTTTCTAGTGCGGCAGAGGCTTGTTCGCTATTTATGTTCAGTGCTCATAAAATGTTTTCCTAACAGTGAGTGTACTGCTTCCGCAAAGTTGATGATTTTTTTAAGTGCAAACGGCTACCACCACTCTAAAATCGGATGTATTGCAACGTTCTGTGCCTTTTCACTTTCTTCTTGGTTCTCGGAACCCTCAATGCACAGTTCTTCGGGTTTTCAATGATACCTAACAGACCTTCAGTGCTTTTAACCGCAGTGTCTGCGTATATAGTGTGAAAGAATAGACCTCTACCTGCAACTGTCGAGAATCCGTCGTCTTTGTTTTATCTACCGATTGTAGAGCAGCTCGAGCAGCCATTGCCCGCAACTTCTGTGCCTCCACCAGGGTAGCCATCTGATATGGTCAGTTTCAGTCGAATCAAGAACCCCATTCAGAGGTCCACTTCACTTGCAGTTAGATGGCGGTCAAAGCGTAAAGTGGAGATAGACCGCTCACACGTAAAATTAGTGCTCTATCAAAGTCAAACTAGCGCTTGCTAATCATTGCTTTCAAGCGCATGTATGAATCGAGAAGCATTAAGAACAGTGTGCCGTTATGAAATAAATGACAACATTACAAAGGTAGTTATGAAACTAACATTACAAAGGTGCTAATGGAACTATCTCATTGATTAGATCTATTTCAAAAGAATTCCCTTCAGAAAGTACCTCCTCGAAAGCCTTGAGCAAACCATCGGTAGTCGATCGAAATGACGTCATCTGCGCCCCAAAATCCCGTGCTTGTCCTCTCAAATCACTCAGTGTATCTGAGATCTCTGTAAAATGATTCTCGATTACCTTCTCCACTAAGCATACCAAAAATAATTTCACATAGGGAATGCGCCATCAGAGCGCACTCCTCGGGCATGGACTTTGCGACGATATAATCGACATGAAGTATATTGCGATGTGGGAGTAGTGCAGTGGCAAATGACGTTCTTATCATGCGCCGGGTTCACTCGTGAAGTCCCGAGTGGGCTCCCACCCAGGCTACTGAAGCCTTTTACCCTTCGGGGACAGTAAACTAGTACCAGATTCGTTTTAGAGAATGAACACGCCCGCTTCCACAAAGCTCCTTCAAGTCATTATATTGGCCACGTCGTATCCAGTTAGCCATTATGATTCTTAGCGGGAGTGGGATGAGTGCCGCATATCATAAACGGCGAAAAATTGATCTTTTTAACCTTTACAATCGCTATTCTTTCTTATCATTAGTTGAGGACCCCTGAATCACGATAAACCCTCACGGTGCAGCTGTCGACGGGCACTTGTGAAAAGGAATTGATAGCTAGAAGTGAGAACCTATTCATAAGTCGGACAGAGCCTTTTCTTTGCTATCTGATTTTGAGCAATGTACAAACATACAGCTAGGCAATACGTATTCACCCGGACGAGAGGCCAGACCCTAAAAGGCTGGGAGTACCCAGATTAATAAGCTCGTTGCTCTTCGTGCATTTCCAATGTTCGGTCTGGGGAGTTTTGAACAATTATACGTCCACAGCGCGCTGTTATTGGAAATTTTCGTGCATTCAGCAAATCCTGGCCTGGGCCTTTGACCATTTTTGAAACTTGGATAATGACTAACCTGGGTCCAGAAGCCGTATCCGGTTCATCTCGTCGATGTGAATGCCAGCCTTGCTGAGCACATCGTCGGCCATCTTAGCGCTCCCGTTTCTTTTTCGATACTATGGAACTTTCTCACTGAACCTGTAAAGTGTTAAAAAATGGTTGCAAAGGAGACCAACCGAAAAGTTCTTCAAACGAAGCGACACAAGTGACGAACCGCTTAGCATAGAACAAGCCGTAGCTGAACCCAGAGGGAAAAAATAGGGAAAAACATTATGTGGAGTAAATCATGAACCATTCAAATCCGAACGAATCGTGAAGGTATGAATGGCGGAGTGATAGACGTTGGGATTCCCCTTGAGCAACGCGTGCGGATAGTGGAGAGTTATGATTGCTTTACCGCTGCTATTTTATCATTCAGACGAAAGCAGTGATCATCGAGCTTTCAGGAGCTAGCCAACAGCTGAAAAAAAAATCAAAACAAAATGGGAAAAAGAGAGGTTACGATCTGCACTGTGTGTTGTCACAACGACACAACCAATTTGAGGCGTTCATCTTCCCGAGAGCAGACCTGAAACGAAACTCTACGGGTGCCTCGTGAGTAAACACGTAAATCTGTGTTTCCAAACCATTTTTAGGCCTGTTAGGACGAAAATGATTCAGTCGTAACGCTAGGAAGTGGGAAGTTCTATCTACCAAAGTGGAAAAACACTAACACAGTTCATAAGTAACAATGGCAAAGAAAAGGGAAGCAGGAGTTTAGTTTCCAAATAATGTCTTGAAAAGATGGCAGAATTAAATGATAAACACCACTTATTCACATCTTATTTTCAGTTTTATTATGTGCGCAATAAGCACGAAAACAGTAAGAAATAAATGATATAGAAGCAGTAATAATGTAACAAATAAATGAATAAATAAACAAGTATCGCAGGAAACCGCTCATCAAAGGGTCCGCGTCACGGTTTCTGTTGGTTGTCCATGGCAACCGGCACCAGCCAGCGCTGGGTCTTACCGTTAGCGTTGAGGTCAGTCCAGCGGCACCTAGAAAGGAGTGCTATTTGCTACACCTCCAAAAAGACCAACCATTTTCAAAGAGCTATGAAATTTTGTACAGGTTGCATACAGAAGGACCAAAAAGATACTTCCTTCCTCAGATCCTGGAGCTTATTCCGAACCAATTAACACCGTAGTGGACATTTTTGACATGTAGATCCGACACTGCACTCAGTCGTTGGATTTCGAAGTCCTGGAGTCATCATTGCAAGCCAGTCTCTGGGGACCTGTATACGAATCACCCGACTTTAGAGGTTTTACTGATGCTTCGAACTGAAGCAACTGAAGGCCTTTTGCTTTATTATGGCGGCTTTTACGCCTCTTGAGCTTGGAGACGATGAACCATGTCGTCGTCCTCTTGTGACGATAAAAGTATTGATGGAGGGCTCCCTTCTTCTTCTCATAAAGGAACATTTCTGGGTTACTTCCCTTTGAGCCTCACAATTGTTTATCATCATAGGCGACGTTAAAAAAAGGATAAAGTCTTCGCCGTTAATCAATCCCTTTGTGGGATGCGGCACGCATTCTACTTCCATTCAGAATCGTAGTGGCTTATTGAATGCGATGTGGCCTATACAATGACTTGCGGGGGCCAGCCGATGTACAAGTCAGTGTTTTATCCCAGACGAATCTGGTACCAATTTACCGTCCCCGGAGGGTAGAAGGCTTGGTTGGCCTGGGCGGGTGTCGACCTGGGATTCGAACCCAGGACCGTGGTAAGCGCGCCACTTGTCACTACATCACCTCCGCCTCCATAGGCAGTCAAAGATTCAATGAAAAGTCATGTCGTTTTTTTGTCCCTTTCCCCTCTTCACTCTCCTCCCCCCCCACTTATCTCTCGTGAGCCAATGCGCTGTGAACGGTTTGTCGCTACAATTCCTGAAATTACAAGGAAACTACGGATATTGGGACCACGTGCACGGTATCCCCTGTTAATTTCATCTGACAGATGCTTGCTATCGATACTCCAAGGCCTGGTACAACCTAAATGACTGTTACAACAACGCCTATTTACCAGGTTACGTTCGACCTGAGAAACCGTCAAACAGGTTAGCAGTCACACTTTGTCCTGAGGTTAGAATGTCTTCGATGAAGATTTTTCCGTTTCAACCAGCTTTTCAAGTTCGTTATTATACTCTGTGTCGCACGCAATACTGACTTGTAACTGGAAGGAAGATCCGAGGTCATCCACCACCACAGTGCTTGATTATTACAGCGTGCAGTAGGACGTTATTTCTAGATTTGATTAGCTCGGGTTGATTCCTGCGTTAACTGTCGTTTCAGGCACTGATACGGCCCAGCCAGTCTCCAGCCCTAGCATTGACGTTCATGTGACCCCCTAACTCCGCGCGAAGTAAGTTTTCAGAGGCGCTCCTGAGCCGAAAAGTTTGTTATTTAGTACCCTTTTCCTGCAGAGAGATATTTTGATGATTCTAACCGAGAACCCGTGGAGTCAAATTCAGAATTCCAAATCGTGTAGGGTTTCTAAAGGTCCTCCCTTTAACGTGTTGATTTCGTCGTTGGAGCGCGTTATCAACTGTTTCCCGAAGGCGAATGAGTGATAGCTGAATCCAACGTGGAGCTCATTCCACGAGTTAGAATCACTCATTTTAAGTACCACCCACGGTCGGTAGTTTGTATGCTTCTCTCAACTTCCTCTCTATAAGGACTCCTCACTTACGGTAAGCTTTCATATGACAGGAATAGCCTAATTCGCCTCGTATTTCAGCTGAATACTGCTCAATCACTACTCTGATACTACTTACCCAAAGAATTAGCAACGATCAGCATGGCAACTGATTCATTGAGTGTCGCATCGACCCAGGCCGATGAGGACGAGGTACGTGATGGTTCTACGGAGTGAGACTGCCGGAGCTTGTTGTTTTGATACAGACAAAATGGTTATTGATCAAGAAGGGTATTTGATTGCTATACGCGACGGTTCTTCTGGATATAAGTCTGTGTACATAACATCGACAGCCCGCACAGGCCAGCCTGACCTTCTTAAACGCTTCCTAGACTTGCACACGAACGTGTGGATGTTTATATTTAGTTTCAGTCCGTAATGATTACCGGAACGTGCACTAGACCATAGACACTTTATGCCTTGACTTCATGCTTCTGACGATCTCTGACGGCTTGACTCTCGCGCAGTAATTTAATTTTTTGAATTTGTGCATCCTCAAAAACCCAGGGAAGGAGCAGTAACAATGGAGAACAGTATCATTTCTATGGAAAACAGCCTTACTAATAGCGGCTTATAGTGACCCGCCTATTGTGAACAAATGTTCTTCTTGTTGATTGGGAAGGTAGCCCGAAAGGTTAATATCTGCTATGGAACATACTATCACCGTGTTCAACGTTCTCATCGACCACAATGAACCAAAGATAAGAGGGAAGAGATCATGTCTTATCTTCGTGAATATCTTTTTATTTGCCAACACTACCGATACGGATTCATTCAACATTAGCCTCTAGCTGAATGGGTCGACTGGCTAGCAAGCGAATTCCGATGATATGGTTACGTTTGGGATGCGCCACGTAGTCAAGTTTCTTCCCAAATGCTATTAGTGCTCTATGGCGACGCACAGCGCAAGCTGTCCCTTCCCTCGGTATTCAGAAATGATCACAAATTTGTGCTCATATATCTGCCAAGAAGTGGTCCTGAGGGGACCCCTCCCTTCCGCGACTAAATGAGTCCACCGGTTGGGATCGCCTGCCCGTGCCCTGTTTCGAGTATACCCCAGGTCACACTAGAGATGACATCGACGTCATCACTTCTAGCTCGCGTCGAGAAGCACGGAATTAACGCCACCCCGAAGTTATACTTCGGTTATTTCCCCCTAAATCGATATATGAAATGGCTCAACTATTGGTCGCCGACGAATCACCATCCGGGCTCTCGAAACAGCATTTCTAATGTGTAGTGGCTGTGCATGAGTCACGCAGCGGCGTGCCATGCGCAAAGTCTGGACGCTGGGGCCATTACTGCTATTGCCCAAGTGCTGGCGACAAGAGTAACGGCATTTTGCGCGCTGCTTGTGGACGTCGGTGCAACGTGGCGCTGCAAATGACGTATGGTTCCAGGTAAAGATGGCGACAAACAGCAATTCGAGTACCGAAAGAATTACTCATGAATGTCACGATGACGGGTCTAACATGAATTGGATGGCGTTACATAAGCCGATGCTCCTATCGGACAGGCTACGCGAGTAAGAAAATGCCACATCGCCTTGCGTGCGGCGAGCGGCCAAATTACGATTCTCTTGTCCTTCCCATCTGCTCAAGCTGATTACCTGGTCGTGCGACTTGAAGACAAACCCGCTATTGCCTATTGTGGATAGGGCGTTCGACTGCGAACCGAAGTCACTAGATGACTTACCGGTAAAGGAAACAGCAAAGAAGAAAGGCAGAAACATCATGGTAAAGACCTTGGCGCGCAAATGTCTGAGGAGTTTTCCGGTACGCATGCTCGTTTTAGTGTCATTGAAGTGATGGCGTCCTCTGTTCATTAATTGTTTTTCGCATCAATCAATGCTAATGCTATCAACGAAAAAAAAACGCAGAGTTAAAACTGTTTTTGGGAACCAAATACCTGTGGGTTTGGCGAAGACACCTTAGAGAGGGGTGAGAACTGCCACTTGTGAATCCAAATTTAATGGGGCCCCTTTGGTTTTCCTTGCCTGTGAAAGCTGCAAAAGAGGGATAGTCCCAGAGACTGAGGGGCACTTCGTGCACGCGTGGAAACCGTCTTAAAAGCTGGGGGTGTGCTAAAATCTCAGAATGAGTCTGTATCAATGCATAAAAAATTGGAGGTGTCGTGGTTCAGAAAACTCGCAAGCATTATGGTATCTATGAAGTGGAGGTCGCGCTTGGCAAATGTTCTGCTTGTGAAAAAGCGGTCAATGGGTGAGTTTGTGTCATGGTTTTTGAACATGCCCTAAATCCCTGGACCAAAGTTGGCAGCTCACAGCACTTTATAAACGATAACCAATCGGATCGCACGGCTCACGCCGTGCTCTCCTCCTTCTCTGAG